GAGGAAAAAAAATATTCTAATAGCTATGTCCAGGCCAGGGGGGGGCGGTACTTGAAATGTCAGGGGGACCACTCTGTAAAATATGTGATTATCTAAACACACACACACACACTCACACACACACACAGAATACAGAAGTTAATCGTGTAGAAGATTGAAAGAAGTGAATTAAAACACCTAGGACTCAAGCAAAGGGAACAGAAATGTGTCCCCTGCCAGGCTGGCATGGGCCAGTTAAGTATTCACAGCAAGCCCTATATCTCTTTTCTTTTAAGTAGGACCTTTGGTGCTACTTTGGTCTAGATTTTTGATACAGATTTATTTCTTTTTTGTTTGTCTATTAAATTTATTGGGGCGACACTGGTCAATATGAACATACAGGTGTCAGGTGTAGGTCTCTATGTGATAAAGATCTGTATATTGTACTGTGTGACCACCACCCAAAGTCAAATATTCTCTAGTCACCATTCAAATTTCTTTTGAAGATTCTTTTTCTGCAGAAATAAAGATATTGGAACTATGGGCTCTAATCTTCTTCCTAATGCCATGGTGCCTACTTTCCCCACCTCTGTGTATTTCAGGCTGGCTAACATTCCAGACAGTAACAACACTAAAGGTTTACTTGACTGTTTGAGGGAGAAATGTACAACCTCCAAGTCCTAAGCCATGTGATATACACCCAGGCACTAGATTCCAAAAATCAATGGTAGTTTTACCTCTAGCTTCTCATTATAAAAGTCTCTTGTGGTATAATTTAGCATAGCACGATTTGTATTTTCTCCTACAAATCTTTTGCTATCATTATTTTCTTCATTAACAATACCATGTTTTTTCCCCTTGGTTTCTTGTAGATAGCGGAATTGCTTCTTCCTGCAGAAAGACAGTAGAGAGATATAGAGTTACTTAACAGATGTATTAACATATGTCCATTTTTTTGTTGTTGATTTTAGAGGGAAATGTATACTCTTTTGAATGTTTTATGAGATTGAGTTAATCATTTCCTTGAGCTCAGTTCAGTGCTCCAATATTTCTACTAATTAAGCTATTCAACACAAATTCTTGTTTCATAACTACCAATCATCAATATAAACATGTCTCAAGAATTTCTAAAGTGAAAAAGACTCGACATTAAAAAAATCAATACAAAAATTAAGTAATCACAGAGCACAAAACAACCCAATTAAAGATGTAGTAGACCAAACTTTCAAAGCCTTTATATTCCATAAAACATGTTAGTTACTTTCTTATAAAGCACACAAATACCTCATAATCCCACTAGGAAGCTCAGTAGTATTACAAATAGCTAGAATATGAAATGGGATACTGGTTTAAGTTCGGACAAAATCAAAAACTTCCAACTATTAGCATTAGATATTCCAGATCTCAGTAGGAGGTAAATAATGAGAGAGGTAAATAAATAAATTGATAAAGAAGAAGAACGTAAGTGGTGCTAATAGTATCACTTACAGACCCATAAACCTAATGCAGAGGACTCCAACTCATCCTCCATGAAAGTTGCTTCTGGTTTCCACCACTTGCAGTGGTTCTCAACCTTCCTAATGCCGCGACCCTTTAATACAGTTCCTCAAGTTGTGGTGACCCCAACCATAAAATTATTTTCGTTACTACTTCATAACTGTAATTTTGCTATTGTTATGGATCGTAATGTAAATATCTGATATGCAGGATGTATTTACAGGGGTCGCGACCCACAGGTTGAGAACCACTGATAGTGTCTATACATGAAGTGCTATTACTACTTTACTGCGAACTTGAGACTGGGAGCAGAAGAAAAATATTTCTTTTAAAATTTCTTCCATTTTCCAATTTAAAAGTGTATGACAAACATTTAAAAATTCTAAGGAATACAAATTTTTGAATAGTATAAAGAAATAGATAAAATCACTCATAAATCTATAGCACATAAATATATATATATATATGTACATATATATAACATTGTTCACATTTGACATTTCTTTTTAGGCCTTTTCTATAAATTTTTGTAAAATGTTAAAATCATACTAAACATCTAATTCGGTACACTGTTTCTCACTTAATGCTATACAATAAATTTTTCCATGTCATTAAAAATTAATAATTTTGCCCTGGTCTGTGTGGCTCAGTTGGCTGGAGCATCGTCCCATACACAGGAGGGTCGCAGATTCGATTCCCAGTTAGGGCACATACCCAGGTTGCAGGTTCAATTCCCAGTAGGGTGCGTATTGGAGGCAAACAATGAATGTTTCTCTCTCGCATAGATGTTTATCTCTTTCTCTCTCCCTCGCCCACTCTCCCTTCCTTTCTCTCTAAACATATTTTTAAAATTTAATAATTTAATGAATATATAAAAATCAATTATTATGTAGAACACAATTTACCTAATCAATCATTTTTATTGGATATTTAGATAGTATAATACTCTCACTTTTAAAAAGAAAAAAGGTATTTATCTGCATTTATTTTCTTTATTAATTTTTAATTACAAGAGCAATGTAAACACATTTTATATCACTTTTATTAGTCTTTTCAAATGATCAACTTTCCATTAATTGTTTTTAATGTCATTATTTCTTTTCTTTAACTCTTCAGAATTATTTTGCTGTTCTCTAATTTCTTTAGATACAATGTTTAGCTCATTCATTTTCAGGCTTTATTCTTTCCTATTACATTCATTTCAGGGCTAAAATGTTCCCATTTAGCACCATGGTAACTTGATCCCACAAGTTTTGAAATATTGTATTTTTATTATATTTCATTTCAAAGTAGTTTCAAATTTCCATTATGAAACTGTCTTTAACCTGTGGGTTATTTAGAAGTGTTCCTTAATTTGAATCTATTGACTTCTGCTTTACAAATAGTATTTGGTTAATTTTTATAAATATTCCATGTAAGCTTGAAAATAATGTACAATCTACAGTTGTTCAGGGCCACGTTCTCTAAATGTCCATTAAGTCAAATTGTAAATCATGTTGTTCAACTATTTCATTTTTTTCTATTAATTGCACAGAGGTATATGAAAATTTCTCAAAGTAATGTGGATTTGCAGTGCTGTCAACTTTTGGCTTAGACATTTTTAAGGCTATGCTGATGGGTGCATACAGATTAAATTAGCAGATTTATCATTATATTCCTGATGAACTGAACCTATTATTTTGAAATGGTCCTCTTTATATTTCTATTTTTGCTTTTAACCTTAGTCTATTTAGTCTTCAATGGCTATTCTGTTTTTATGCTGGTTAGTATTGGTGCTGTTTATTTTTCCCACTTTTTTACTTTCAAACTTTATATAACCTTATGTTTCAGACGTGTCTCCTGTAATAACAGATAATTGAACTTCACTTTTTTATTCAGTTTCACAATCTCTGGCTTTTAACCAGTATATCTAGTACATGTGCATTTTATAACAGGTGGATTGCTTTGACCAATAGAATGTGGAAAATATCAGTGTATCAGTTCTTAACCTAGACCTCAAGAGGTCTTATATGATTCCACTCTCTCTTCAGACTTTGCCTCTGCCATAACAACAAATCATGTGGAGCAGAGATTTCTGCAGTATGACAGACCATGTGAGCAGAGACAAGTTGTCCCAGTTAAGGGCCTTCTTAGACCAGCATATAGTCAGCCAACCCCCAAACAAATGATAGAGCCAGGCTAGATCGGCAGTGGTGCCTGCCCAAACCACAGGGGACTACAAATGCACGAGGAACCTGGCTGAGAGCAGAAGAACCACCCAGCAGACCTGGAGACTGCGGGGAGGGGGAAGGAGGGGAGATGTGTTTTGTTTTAAGCCACTGATTTTTGGTACAAATGTAAGTGCTAATATAGTAGTATTCAGATTAAATTTGACATTTTCTTTCCTATTTGACTCACATGTCCCATACTTTTTTATTTTTCTTCTCCTCATCTTCCCACCCCTCTCCTTACTAGTCTGGAAGCTATATATTCTTTTATTCTTTGGTTATCACAGAAGCTACAATATGAACTCTTAAAGTACTGACATCTAAAGTTAATGACTGTATCTCCATCCTACACAATACAAGAATCTAGAATACTATATCTCCATTAACTCTTTCCTAATATATACTACTGTTATAGTGATATCAATATTTATATATCACTAGTTTTTTTTAGAAAGAGAGGGAGAGAAACATCAATGTGAGAGGGAAACATTGATTGGCTGCCTCCTGCACACCCCACAATGGGGATCGAGCCCACAACTGGGCATGTGCCCTTACTGGGAATCAAACCAGGTACCCTTCCGTCCACAGGCCAACGCTCTATCCCTGCAACCAAGGTACGTGCCCTTGACCAGAATCGAACCTGGGACTCTTTGGTCTGCAAGCTGACACTCTATCCACTGAGCCAAACCGGCTAGGGCAGTGGTCGGCAAACCGCGGCTTGCAAGCCACATGCGGCTCTTTGGCCCCTTGATTGGCTGCCTCCTGCACACCCCACAATGGGGATCGAGCCCACAACTGGGCATGTGCCCTTACGAGGAATCAAACCAGCAATCTTTTGGTGCATGGGCTCTTCCACAAAATACCACGTGCGGAAGTGCATATACAGTGCGATTGAAACTTCATGGCCCATGTGCAGAAGTCGGTTTTCGGCCTGAGCGAGTCTATTTTGAAGAAGTGGCGTTAGAAGAAGTGGGGGGGTGTCAGTCGGTCGGGCGACGGGATAGGCAAGTGTGGGGAGGTGCACGCAATTCATGCACGAGTTGAGGATGGGATTATACCAGCCAGGGTTATTTCTATATTTTAAAACTCCACTATAAATTGTTATTGTTGCTTTACACAGTTAATATTCATTTAGCTTTATCCTACAAATTTAATACTTCCCTTGTTCTTCTTGAACATAAGGCCTACTATCTGGGATCAACAAGCTTGATTATTTTTGTTTGTTTACTGGTTGTTGTTGGTTTTTTTGTTTGTTTTTTAATCCTCACCTGAGGATATTTTTCAATTGATTTTTAGAGAGAGTGGAAGAGAGGGAAAGACAGAGTGAAATATCAGTGTGAGAGCACAACAT